TTTCTTTTCACAGTATTATCAAGATCTTGCAGTGACTTAAAGAAGCTCGATCCTAAAGCGAAAAGCGGAATCTGTCTGATAGATCCTGATGGTGAAGGAGGATTGCTGCCTTTCCTCGTCATCTGTGACATGAGTGACGAAGACGGAGTTGGTGTGACTGTCATAAGTCACGACAGCGAAAAAAGGACTTTGGCAGACAATAATACCCCCCCAGGAGACTACTCGCGAAATATCTCTTACAAAGACGCGAACATATCTCAACTGGTGAGTCTCGTCAGCGTTTCCCAGTCTTGCGAGCAGTTCATTAAGTACGAGTGCCTTGGTTCTACCTTGGAAGATGGTTTTTGGGTTTCACGTGATTCTGAGAAAATGACTTACTGGAGTGGGGCAGCACCTGAAAGTAACATGTGCGCATGCGGAATGAACAAATCATGTGCAAATCCATCACAAAATTGTAACTGTCATGTAAATGACTTGAATTGGCGGGAAGATGGTGGTTTTCTTACTAACAAGACACATCTGCCAGTTAAGAAGCTGAAGTTTGGGGATACAGATGTTGACCAACACAGAAATGATGAGAAGGGTTACCACACCTTGGGAAAGTTTAAGTGTTATGGAATCGCCTGATTGTATGAAACAACAGAATCTTTAACCAATACTAACAGTCGGATCCAGTGGAAAACGCAATTAAGATAAAAATTGCGAGGCATTGTTAGTGATGCTTTTGAAAGGTTTATTTAACGATTCTTTTTTACTAATTTCGTGTGGCAAAACTTCATGAGTTGTCTCAAAACGATGATTTGATGATGAAAAAAATAACATACGTTACCCTTTTCAGTTCTTTTTAATTTATTTATTTATTGGCAATATCTAACCAGGCTGGCCTAATTTTAACGCAGGCTGGTTTGAATGGTAGCCTGTATAGTCAATATAAATACCACAAATGTATCGCTTAACTGTCCAGAGATTGTAAACTTCGAGTGCCAATGTGAAAGTTCTAAACGGTAATTGGGATGAATTCTATTTAGACTAACTACGCTGTGATCTAACCGTTGATGCTTGTTATTTGTTAAGGGTAATAATTGACTTATTAACTCGTCTACGAGTGTAACTGAACTTATCTTGATAATTTGTTAATAACCGGCTTCAAATATGGTAGAAGTGCAGTGTTTTTTTGTGCGTGCTCCACCTCACAACTAAAACTCAACTCAAGTTAGTGCTATTGAATATATTTCTTCCAGTATGTAAATACGCAGTGCTGTTGGTTTTTCGAAAAATCTCTAGCAGTTGTTCTTATTACAGTTTTTAGATCTAGTGCACTAGACTCTATTGGTACTTTAACAACCGTAGATTAAAGTTAAAATTATTGCGGAGGACGACACGCAATTTGGCAACGTTTTAAAGAGTTCTTGACTACGCTAAAATGTTGCCTTGCTAGGCAGCTTGCCAGTACCTTTTACACTGACTGCAGTATTGATAATGTAATTGCTGACACTTGTAAAAGTTGAGTAAAATGTTTACCAATCAAACTTTCAGCGTCGCTTT